CTATTTTGGAGGCTCTAGAAGAGAATTTGTTTCCTTGTATTTTCCTGCTTCTTAGAAGCCCCTTCCTCTATTTTCAAAGCAAATAATTTTGCATATTTTTCTTTTTTTTTCTATAGTCATATCTTCCTATTTTTAAGGACTCAATGGATTTCAATTTAACTACATGAGTTGGGTAATTTTCTAATCATATGATATATAAACAAAATAAGCATAATTTTACTAGCTCATAGTATATAGTTTTTAAGTAGCAAAAAGCAGGAAAGTTATGTCTACTGTGTTAAGATACTTCTGCATTATCAGAGAACCCAGTGGTGAGGAGAATGCAGTGCAGTGGAAGGCAGAGTTTATGCTGTCACATTGCTAATGCTGATCTGCTATAGTAGATGAGTTAGAAGCTTCTACAGTTCCCACACAGATTTCTGAAAAGGGTGCTTGCAACCTTATGAATCAGACTTCTTTACTTTTGATCATAAGAGAAACCATTATTTCCTATGAATCTGACAAACTACCAGGGGTAAGCATACTATATCATGTATTTTGTTTACTAAATAGTTGGCACTATTTAGTAATAACAATTAACTACTCTGTTTGATATCCCTACATTAAGGGATGGTAATGTGATCTGTAGAAACTCACCAACAGTTACAGTATATAAAATTCCTTTAATGGTGAAAAATATAGAGCTCTAGGGAGGTTATACAACATAGAAGCTAATATGGTATCATCCCTACAGTGTGCATTTGTCTGGGGGGAAATTCACTAACTGGGGTAGCAAACAGCCCATAAATCTCAGTGGCTTAACACAATAAATACTTGTTTCTTGTTTTTACAACTTGTTTCTTGATGTGAACTGTCCTTGAAGCAACAAAACTGTAACTGTGATAGAGATGAAAAGAGATAGACAACTACACTCAATGCTGTTTAAAACAAGCCTGAAAAAGGTTTTTATTAAGGTCATGACTCACCTAAGTATGAGTTGGAGGAGAGGGGTAACATTTCCTCTTCCTGTCTGCCAGGAATAATGATTATACACCATTGCCTCTGACATAGAGGTGGAGCTTCTGAGGCACCAAAGTTCCCAACAGGGACAAGGAACTGTGTTGATATCCTGACAGAGGAAGAATTCTGCTAGGCTCGTGAAGCTTTTGTTGCCATTCCCAAGGGCACATTGTTTCTGTCTTGGCCCCCATTCTCATTTGACAATTTTTCTAATGTCTACTAATTCTTCATTTTTCTTTTTTTAAAAAAGATTTATTTATTGGGCCTCCCCGGTGGTGCAGCGGTTGAGAGCTGGGCTGCAAAGCTGCCTGCAGCCTCTGCAGTGCCAGTTCGATCTCCAGCCGCCAGTGAGGGTCCCACATGGCGCACAGACCTCTCCTGCTGCCCGCTGCTCCCCTCAGCAGTGTATTTCGTCAGCCTGTCTGTTCTGCTCCCTGCTCTGACTCTGGTGAATTCTCTCACCCTCCCGCGCTTCTGACTGTACCCAGTGCTTGTATAAATAAATAAATAAATCTTATAAAAAAAAGATTTATTTATTTAGGCAAACAAGAGCTGGGGTGCAGGCCAAAGATGTGGGGAGGGTGAGAGGATTCACTGTGTCTCTAGAGAGAGACACAGTGGGGAGCAGAATAGGAGGACTGATTGAAATACACTGCTGAGGGGAGCAGCAGGCGAGAGAGGAGAGGTCTGCTGCGCCATGTGGGTCACCTCCCTGGCCAGGGATTGAACTCATGCTGCAGTGGCTGCGGATAGCTTCACAATGCTGTGTCTTAAACCCCTGCACCACCAGGGAGGCCCTTCACTTTTATTTTCAATCGAGAATATAGGTCAGGGATTAAAAATCATTCAAACCTGTCAACCTAGAATAATAAAGATATGTAACAAATATCAAGGCATTCCCTTAATTTTTTCTAGTCAGTGCAGTAGAGATAGAAAACAGAATAGTTAATTGTTATTACCAGGCTGCTCTAGAGAAGTAGAACCAAGAGGAGAGACTAAGAGAGGTAAGTGATTGATTGATAGATAGACAAATAAAGGAATTAGCTGAAAAATCTCAAGATCTGCAGTCAACAAGCTGGAGACCCCAGTCCACGTTTGGAGGCCTGAGAACCAGAAGACCCGTCGTTATAAGTTTCAGTCTGCAAATCAGCAGGCTCGCTGCCCAAGAAGAGCCAGTAATTCAATTTTCAGTCCAAGGGTTGGAAAAAACTCTATAAGCCAGCTTATAGCAATTGAGTAGAAGGGAATCCATTCTTATACACAGGGGTGGGGGGCAGCCTATTTGTTCTATTAGGGTTTCTCAATTGATTGGATCAGCATTAAGGAGGACAATCTGCTGGGGCTTCCCTGGTGGCGCAAGGGGTTAAGATGAAACCTATGGCTGTCCGCAACCACTGCAGCACGAGTTCAATGCCTGACCAGGGAACGACCCACATGACGCAGCAGACCTCTCCTGACTCGCCCACTGCTCCCCTCAGCAGTGTATTTCAGTCAGTCTGCCTGTTCTGTTCCTTGTTCTGTCTCTAGTGAATCCTTTCATCCACACCTTTGGCCTGTACCCCAGTTCTTGTATGCATAAATAAATAAATCTTTAAAAAAAAAAAAAAGAGGACAATCTGCTTTACCCAGTCTACACATTAAAGTGTTAATCTCTTCCAAAAACATTCTCACAAACACACCCAGAATGACATTTTAATCAAACATCTGTGCACTGGTGGCCCAATAAAGCTGATGAAGTTTACCATCACATAATCCAAAGAGCAGAGGATGAAGCTAAATGCTTGTTTAGTATTGTTTCTATTATTGTGAAATGAAAATTCATCTTATTGTCTCCTGTAGTCCCAAAAAATAAAAAAACAAAAACTTCAGGGGCCTCCCTGGTAGTTTAAGAGTTAAGTGTCAGCTCTGTCATGGTATCTCTGCTGCAGCCTGAGTTCGATCCTGGCCAGGGAGCTAACCCACATATGGTGCAGCAGACCTCTCCTGTCTCTCTTCTGTTCCCCTTCCAGTGTATTTTAGTAGATCTGCCTGCTCTGCTCCCAACTCTGTCTCTGGTGAATCCTCTCACCAATCCCTGGGCCTATATCCCAGTTTGTCTGTGCATAAAAAAAAAATCAATAAATTTTTTTTTAAAAGATTTTATTTATTTATGCATATACAAGTTGGGTTCTAGGCCACAGGTATGGGGGCAGGGGGCAAGAGGATTCACCAGAGACAGAGTGGGGAGCAGAAAAAGCAGCTCTACTGAAATACACTACTGGAGAGTAGCAGGAGAGACAGGAGAGGTCCGCTGTGCCATGTGGGTTAGCTCTTTGGTCTGGGATCAAACTAGTGCTATAGTGGCTGCTGATAGCTTCATAGTGCTGAGAGACTTAACCCCTCGCACCACCAAGGAGGCCCCTAAATCAATAATTTTTTTGATAAATAAATCTTAAATTATTTTTCAGGAAGAAAAAGTAAACTCTTGTAAAACACTGACACATACTCAAATGATTGGAGAGAGGAAAATGTCATCTATTTTGACATTAAAAAATAATAAAATCACAATCTCTCATAAGCTCCAAGTAATAAGACCTATACAAAACGGCTTTCATCACATCTTTAAAAAGATCTCAGGAGTTAACATAAACCCTACTTTATTAGCACAATTAACAATTTCAGGTAACAAGTGAAATAAAGTCAAAAGGATCCTAGCAGCCCTCTGCTGGAAAGGGTGTATGCTGAAGGCATAAACAGACTAAAAAAAGGGCAAGAAATTCTTTCAGAATGTATTTGGCAACAATAGCTCTAGAAATGATATATAGGTTGGAAATTCAAACAGGTTGAAGGGAGAAAGGGGATTTGTCTTGAAATAATGTTTATATAGGAAGCTCACTGTTTTTATTTAGCCTACAAGTATTAATAGGGTGGCTAGAGTTTATGAGGAAGATGTAGTCTCCTGAAACACCTCTTGGCAACCCTGCTGGCATCTTCACCTTAAATGCAAAAATGAGGCAGCCCAGAAAGATGAGCAAGGATCTTGTCTTTTGAATTTTTATGAAAATTTCAAACATACACCAAAGTATATGAACTTCATGGATATGAGAGTATAATAATCTTTATGTATCCTTCATGAGGCTTCAGTAATGACCAGCTTTTTGCCATTTTCATTTTACCTGTTCCCCACATTCCCAGCTCCTATTTATGCATGACATACAGTAAATGCTCAACCAAATATTTGTTGAATCTAAGATTATCATCAGTCCTTAAGAGAGTAAAAGAAATCAGTTAAAAAAAAAAAAAAACAACAAAATATGCTGCCTATAACACAATGCCTTAGGTTTCAAAATTTATGTAAATGGAATTGTATTCTTTTGTTCCTGGCTTCTTTTGCTCAATATTGTGGTTGTAGAACTACATGCAGTTGTAGTTCATTTATTCTAGTTGCTGAGCAGTATTCCATGGTATGAATATTCCACAATTTATCCACTGTATTATATTAAGGGACATTTGGGTTATTTACAGATTGAGACACTATAAATGCCATTAGAGACATTGTGTATCTTTTGGGAAACAATGCATACTTTTCTACTGGAGGTATACCTAGAAATAAAATTGCTTAGATATAAGATAAGCAGAAATCTATTTCAGTAGATAATGCTAGTTTTCTAAGGTGCCTATAGATTTCTCACCAGGAGTATATGAACATTTCCTTCACTCCAGCCTTACCAATCTTACTGGATATTGTGTATTGTGCTGAGTGTCTATTTCTGGAATTTATTCTTCTTCATTGGTTTGACTATATTTTTTGCACCAGTAAGTCTTAGTTTTACCCTTGCTTTTTTTTAAAAAAAAATTTGATATCTGGTAAATGTTTATTTTGTTCTTCAACATTTAACTCTTTACCTTTTCTTATTCCATGTACATTTTAAAAACATCTTGCTAATTCTCCTACATCCTTATCTCCCCACCCCTCTCCGAATGCTGCTGGAACCTATACTGGAATTGTATTGACTCCACAGATCAACTTCGATGACACTGACATCTTTATAAGTGAGTCTTTCATTGATTGAACCTGGTACACATCCTTCCAGTTACTTAATTCTTCCACTATTTCTCTCATTAACTTAGTATTTTTGGTCTTCCATTTTTCCCTTCCAATCTTCCTACCACTATTTATTTTTTTTTCTTGCCTCATAGTACTAGGATTGTCCATCCAATAAAATATTGAAAAAAAGCAGTAAATGTGGAAATCCTATTTTGTTCCCAATCTCAACAAGTAAATATTTTTAGGTTATCAACTGACTTCTCATCTTCATAGTTAAAGCAAAACAGAAGTGGAAGAGAAATAAGACTGTATTCAGTAATATTAGTGTCTCCCTTTTCAAATTCTGAAGTACTGTGCATTGTTAATTTGTTATTTATATACAAACTGCATTCTACTTTATTTTTTTTTTAAGATTTTTTTAATTTATGCATTTAAGAACTGGGGTGTAGGCCAGAGGTGTGGGGGGTGAGAGGATTCATCAGAGAGAGTGGGGGGCAGAACAGAAGGATCTACTGAAATATACTGCTGAGGGGAGCAGTGAGCAAGACAGAAGAGGTCTGCCACACCATGTGAGTTAGCTACCTGGCTGGGGATAGTACTCATACCACAGAGGCTAGCAATAGCTTGATAGCACTGAGATTTTAACCCCTGCACCATCAGGGAAGCCCCATTGTTCTTTAATTCTAAACATACTAATTCATAGGAAAAGTGAAGCAATTTTAAATGTGTATGATCTCAGATCATTTAAAATAAAAACACAAACCAACAATCATAGTGGGATATATTAACACACATCTTGGTAACTGATAGTTGACAAAAAAGCAGTAAGGATTCTAAAAGATTTGAATGGTACAATAAAATGGGCCTAATTGATAGAAATTAAACTGAAAATGGCTACAAAATCAAATTTTCAAGGACACCTGGAATAGTTACCAAACTAAATCATGTGCAAGGCCTTTTAACAACTCTCATTAAAATCTGAAAAGTTGGGCCTCCCTGGTGGTGCAAGGGGTTATGCACCACACTATGAAACAATCCGCAGACTCTGTAGCATGAGTTTGATCCCCGGCCTGGCAGAGAGCAACCCACATGGTGCAGCAAACCTCCTCTGTCTCGCCCACTGCTCCCCTCAGCAGTGTATTTCAGTCGACCTGCCTGTTCAGTTCCCCACTCTGTCTCTGGTGAATCCTCTCAGCCCCTGCATCTCTGGCCTGTACCCCAGCTCTTGTATGCATAAATAAATAAATCTTTAAAAAAAGAAAGAGGGCCTCCCCTGGTGGCGCAGGCAGTTGAGAGCAGTGCTGTGAAGCTGTCCTCAGTCTCTGCAGCGCTGGTTTGATCCTGGCTGGCTGGCAAGGGTCCCACATGGCACCGCAGACCTCCCCTATCTCTCCCACTGCTCCCCTCAGCAGTGTATTTCAGTCTTTCTGCCTGTTCTGTTCCCTGCTCTATCTCTGGTGAATCCTCTCACTCTCCCGCACATCTGGCCTGTACCCCAGTTCTTGTATAAATAATCTTTTTTTAAAAAAAAAAAGAGAAAAAAAATCTTAAAAAATAAAAAAAATCTGATTTTTCAATTAGAATATGTTCTTTAACAGCAGACTTATTAGATATCAATAAAATATAACTAGAAAATTCCCATATTTGTATTTGCCTTTCAAAAAACTTTATTATGCCTATTGTGTTGTTTTATTATAGTTGAGCTTCAAGATTATGGGCCGAGTTTCTTCAGTTGTGGAAAATACTGCTATTTCATTGAACCATCTCTGATCTATTGTTAAATTTGATAACTGGGGGCCTTCCCGGTGGTGCGGTTGTTGAGTGCCGCGCTGCGAAGCTGTCAGTAGCCTCTGCAGTGCTGGTTCGATTCCCCGCCAGCCAGGAAGATACCCACATGGCATGGCAGACCTCTCCTGACTTGCCTGCTGCTTCCCTCAGCAGTGTCTTCGGCCCGTCTGCCTATTCTGCTCCCGGCTCTGTCTCTAGTGAATTCTCTGACCCTCCTGCGCTTCTGGCCTGTACCCCAGTTCTTGTATAAATAAGTAAATATATAAATACATAAATAAATTTAGTAGCTGAATTCTTGACTTCAAAAATACTGTTTTCCAAAGAGACAGCCCACTGATTGGGAGAAAATTTTTGCACACAGGGCCACCGGTGAGGATCCCACATGGCGCGACAGACCTATCCTGCCGTGCCCGCGGCTCCCCTCAGCAGTGTATTTCGTCAGTCTGCCTGTTCTGTTTCCTGCTCTGGCTCTGGTGAATTCTCTCACCCTCCCGTGCTTCTGACTGTACCCAGTGCTTGTATAAATAAATAAGTAAATCTTTAAAAAAAAATTTTTTTTTGCACACAGTACTAATAAGGGGCTGATCACAAAGATCTACAGAGAGCTGACGAAACTCAACAAAGTATACAACCCATCAAAAAATGGGCAGAAGAGCGACAGACACTTCTCCAAAGAGGAAATGCAAATGGTCAACAGACATATGAAAAAATGTTCAACATCACTTGTAATCAGGGAAATGCAAATCAAAACCACAATGAGATACCATCTTTACATACTAGTGAAAATGGCACATATCAAAAAAACTAACACCAACAAATGTTAGTGAGGATGTGGAGAAAAAGGAACTCTTCCTACATTGCTGGTGGAATGCAAACTGGTCCAACCACTATGGAAAGCTGTGTGGAGGTTCCTCAAACTACTAAAAATGGAGCGTCCATATGATCCAGCAATTCTACTCCTTGGTACTTACCCAAAGGACACAAAAACATTAATTCAAAAGGACACCTGCACTCTTCTGTTTATTGCAGCACTATTTACAGTAAGCTATGGAAACAACCCAAAAAAAGATGACTGGACCAAGATGTAGTATATACACACAATGCAATATTACTCAGCAATCAAAAAGGATAAACTCATGCCATATGCAGCAACATGGATGGAGCTCTAAGGGATTATGCTCAGCGAAATAAGCCAGAAAGAAAAAGAAAACTATCGGATGGTTTCACTTATAGGAGGAATGTAGAGGAACCAAATAAGGGATCAAGGAAAAAAAAAAAAAACTATAATAAAGTAAAAATCAAAATCAATAGGCAACCATAGACCAGACATTCTGTAGGGGAGGAGGGAGAGGGATCAAGACAGGGGTGGAGGGGCCTCCCTGGTGGCGCAAGGGGTTAAGCACCACACCATGAAGCAATCCGCAGCCTCTGCAGCACAAGTTCAATCCCCGGCCGGCCAGGGAGAAACCCACATAGTGAAGCAGACCACTCCTGTCTTGCCCGCTGCTCCCCTCAGCAGTGTATTTCAGCCAGTTCTGCTCCCCTCTTTGTCTTTGGTGAATCCTCTCACCCCCCCTGCATCTCTGGCCTGTACCCCAGCTCTTGTATGCATAAATAAATCAATCTTTAAAAAAAAAAAAGCCACAGGGATGGAAAAGAACACAAGGAACCACGGTGATGGTGCATGGGCAAAGTGGCAGTGGGAATTTCACAGGAAATCATACATTGTACAAATATGAAGGATGATGTAATAAAGTTTTTCAGTTCTAGAATTTCCATTTTTAAGTTTTCTACTTTCAGTTGTAATTGTCAATTTTACCTTTTAGTTCCTTAAATTTAATAGTTAGAAGTCAATGGCTATTTCATCTCTTGATGGTGTGGTCTCATCTCTTGTACTCCTAGTCATGTTTGATTCATCTTATCTGAAAAAACTAGAGCTAATTTGAGAGTAACAATGTCCTTTTCATTCAAGATTTAACTTTGCTCCTGGTCAGGCAGTTAGGCCAGAAGTACCAGGAATCCCAGATCACCATAATCTCAAAGGTTAAACCCTTTTTATTTGTGATTCATGCTTATTCCCAAGGCATAGCATTTGGGGGTTTCAACTCAGTCTGGGGTATGGGAAGATTTAACAGGGCCCTCCACTTCAGGGAATGTGAAACCCCCAATTTTGTCTGCCAACACCCTTAATTCTGTAGAAAGATGTTTAACAGTCTCCTCTATAACAGATTCGATGAGGGACAAAGTCCCAAATGCCAGTAACTTTCTTGGGTTTTGTTTCTTAGATCTTTGCCTGTAATTTTTTAGTACCTCTTCCAGAAGGTTTTCTAGTTCTCAGTATTAAGATTGGGCCAATTTAACAACTGGAAGTGATGTTTTCTTCCCCATCTCAGTCTTCTATCACTTACCCTCTTAACACTCCTCAAACTATTCTTTTGGTTACTAATAACTTTTGTTACTAACCCCAATGGCTAATTCTTACTCTTCATCTTCACTAACTTGGCAACAATACTTGGCATGTGATTACTACCTTCCTCCTTGAAACACATTCTTCTCTCATCTTCAAAGACAATTTTTGTTGTTTCATTTCCCCTACTGCTTCTCTTTTGCTATTAAACTCCTCTGCTGGCTCAACTTCAGTTCCCCATCTTAAAAGTTTAAGTGCCCAAAGTTGTCATTAGACCTCTTCACAATCTACATTAACACCTTGGCCATCTTACCATTAATATGCTCAGAGAGCTCTCAAATTCCTATTTCAAGTACAGAACAATCTCTTGAACCCAAATACTAGCGTCATTTCAGGTATCTAAAAGGAATCTCAAACTAAGCTACTGACTTCACTCACCTCGGTCATCCTCAAACCTTTTGTTAGAGTCCTTCCCATCTCAGTTAATGGCAATTCATTGCTAACAGCAACTAGAAACTTCAATCATCCTTGACTTTTCATGCCACACTGTCCACCAGCAAACCCCTTGAGGACAGTCTCCAAAATATATTCAGAATCTCATTACCCCCTTCCACTACAACCCTGGCCCAAGTCATCATACTTTGCCTAATTTTGCAATAGCCCCTTAACTGCTTCTGTTCCTACTCAATCCCATTTAATCTATTCTCAGCACAGCAAATTCCACCACTTTACCAATCTGCTCAAAATCTACAATGACTTTCCATAGAACTTAAAAGGGTGCAAATGCCTTACATAAACCGGTCCCTTTTAACACATTAACTACTCCACTTCTCTCCCTTGCTTACTGTTCCAATTACAGTGGCCTCTTTCTTGTACCTAGGTTGTTTCAAACATTTGGATGTGCTGGAATAGGCAACTAAAACTGAAAGGAAAAAGTGAGAAAATCAAATAAGGCATGTTAAGGACCTGTCATAATTCATTTAGGATACTGCCTGTCATACCCAAAGCTTTTTAAGTTCTTATCATAGCTTGTAATCTCTGTGGCTGTATAAACCTAAAAATTTCAACAGTAAAGATGTATTCGAAATAGTCCATTAGTTCTTTACTAATTAACAGCTCCAAACTGATTTCAGTTCTTGGTCACTAGACCTAAACCCTCTTCAGCTTCTAAACTATCCGTTAACACTAATTTGTAACCTCTTAACAGGTTTGTCGTCTTCTCACTAGGAACTGCCATTACTTTCACATTTCTATCATTTTTTGATTTTTTGCATGTAACCAAGGTTCTCTCCTCATAAATTACATAAAACTTCACTTCTAAGGATAAAGCATTAATTGGAAACAGAAGAAACCAATTTTAAAGAGAAACCAAATTTATAAAATCATATAGCTTAAAAATTTTATTAAAATTTGCTCACCAGGGCCTCCTCGGTAGCACAGGGGTTGAAGTATCAGCGAGCGCTATCAGCTATCCCCAGCACTGCAGCATGAGTTCGATCCCCAGCCAGGAAACTAACCCACATGGTGCAGTAGACCTCTCCTGTCTTGCCTGCTGCTTCCCTTAGCAGAATGTTTCAGTAGATCTACCTGTTCACCACTGTCTCTGGTGAACCCTCTCACCCCCCACACCTCTGGCCTACACCCCAGTTCTAGTATGCATTAAAAAAATAGATTTTTAATCATCCCTTGTAGGTTTTTACTAATCTTTACCCTGTGATAGCACACAGGGAAATGCTGAAATATTAAAATCCCCGGAAAAGCTACACTTATTGGAAACAACTGGCATAGGAATGTAGGCAGCTAGCACTGCAGTTTGAGTTCTTTTACTGCTTAATAATTATTCCAAAGGAAGGATTTTAAATAATTCTTTAACACATTCACTTACATTTATACAATGCTAGAAATGCTTGTTGACATTTTTACTGTTAACATTAACTTGTCAAGGGGAAACAAGGTATATTGAAGCCTCAAAGCTATAGTCAATATTAATTATGTACTCAAAAAAGGCCATTTGCAATTTAAGTGCGCTCTTATACAAAGCATCAAAGTTAATACAAGTACTAGTCTTAAGCAGTCACACAAGTCTAAGCCACATTTATTTGCACATGTATAGTAATGGGCAACAGATACTCCAAATCCATACAAATTTATAAAACAACATAGTTAATAATCATTTGGTACACTTGCGTGTTATCTTGCTTACAGATTCAAGTGTGGATGAACTTCCTTCATTTTGTCACTTTCATAACAATACTTAAAACAAAATTTCTTAAAAACAATATTGGCATGTTTCAGTTAGAGCCAACACAAAAGTTAAGACAAGACCACAAACTTAAAAACCAAATTTAGAATACACTTTTCTACCTCCCTCCCCTAGAAAGTGATTATTTTAACAGATGCATATGCTGTATCACACAAGTAGCCATGGAGACAACTGATGCTCCCATTATTGAATAGAAAATGCCAGCCAAATCATAGTTTTATCTACCAAATATGTTTAGATGAGAAACTGCTTAGATTAAAATTAGAAAAAATATAAGTGATTTTAAGGAGAACAAATTATGTTCCCCATTAAAGCTGCAAAGATCTGACTTTGACAACTCAAAATAATCTGTCTAAGGCAAATGAAAGTGAGGAAACCTTCAAAGACATTCTGATCATGTTCTCTACCTAGTGATAAAAACTGAAAAATGATATCAAGAAAATAGTTACTATACAAGTGTCAACGAGGACATCCCAAAACTACTGAAAGAAATGAACATTTATTTCTACTAAAGCAATGTTTGATACAGAATTAGAAGGGAACAGACTTAAAGATTTACCTATTAAAATATACAGATTCTTACTGAAGAGTATAGGATATTTAAAAAAGATGACAAGGGATGTTAATCTTTTTTTATTATTATTATTTTTACATATTTTGGAACCTCACATAATTTTGATAAATAACTCTTACAAAATTATGCAAAAAGTACAAGAATGTCTGGTAAACAAACAGTCTGTATTTTCCAAAAAATTTTTTACAACATGCAATTCTTAAGGCAGCATCCTCCTTATAAGGAAAGGTAATCCTTTTACTCATCAAGAAATCTTCTGCTGCAAAGAATAGGCTAAGAGAGCCTGGTTTCTTCCATTAACGCCTTTTGTCTTTCCTGTCTGATTTTCGGTCTCTTTCACTTCTTGAAGATCTTTTGCCTGATCGACTACTCTCTGAGATAGATCTTTTCCTGTCAGACCGGGAATTCTTATCCTTTGATCCTTTTGTATCTCTACTACTACCACCTTTTGAAGATTTGTGACTTCTTTCTAGTCCTGAAGTATCCCTTCGCTTCCGATCCACACTCCTTCTGTGCTTTCTATCTCTATTGTGTCCCCGGCCTCTACTACGACTTCGACTTTCACTACTACTAGTAGTGCTGCTGCTACTATCTCTGCTGCTGCTGCCACTTGTACTGGAGCTACTACTGGAACTACTTCGACTACTACTACTGCCACTGCTGGAACTGCTTCCACTGCTGCTACTGGTTGAACTGCTACTAGAACTACTACTGCTACTGCTTCTACTTCTACTCTTGCTTGTTTTATTTCTAGCTCGACCTCTACTTCTGCTCCTAGTTTTGGTTTTGTTTTTGATCTCTGGATGTGCTGTCAAAACTGGCTCTACTGTCATATCAGTGAGTTTTACAGATTCTACAGGAAACTCCTTCCTCTCAGGTAGTAAATGCCCTTGTTCCTGAATAACCTGAGGTGGTGGCTGTAAAGCAGCTAATGGCAACGTCTCAGGTTGCGAGACAGGCTGGGACTGGAGTACTGGTTGAGACTGAGATTGAGACTGAGGTTGAGGTTGAGGTTGG